TAAAAATTAAAATTAAAAAAAAAAAGACCACAAACATGTCAAAAACCAAAAAAATAAAAAAACAGAGGGAAGAGCCTTCCAGCAGGTACAAACACCCTGAGATGCAACTGGGACAGCAAGGAGGCCAGGGTGATTAGAATGAGTGATGAAGGGGGTGTGCTGTGGCTTGTATCTAGTCCCCCCAAAACCTCATGCATGCAGTCATAGGTGGGGTTTTCAGAGGTGGCTAGATCTAGAGTGTGTGATGCTGGGAACAAAGGTGTGTGATTACTAAATTAGTCCACTGATTAGTTTGGTACAGTTCTGAGTAGGATTAAGGATGCCTCACCTTGAGTGGAGTGCTACCCATCCTAAGGGTGGGAGCCTGGATAAGATATGAGGGATAGAAAGAGGGTCACTGCTGGTCACTTGCAGCTTGCTGCCTTTGCCTGCCATGAACTGTTTGGCATCTGCGATGCCCCCTTCGCTGTGCACTCTGCCTTGGAACTGTCCTACTATGGATTAAAACTCTACAAAATGTGAGCTACAATAAACTTTTCTTCCTTTAACTTTGTCTATTGGGTATTTTGTCTCAGTAACTAGAAAAATTAGTTAAAACAGGGCAGCAGAGAGTGAGGTGAGAGAAGATGCCCAAGGTCTGATCTGGTTGGCCGTGATGCAAGACTGTAGGTTTGCATCTCAGCATGATATGGATCTACAGGAGGGTGGAGAACCAGACTGGGATGTGATGGAACTGCCTTCCTAATGGGCCATGCTGGGTGCTGAATTGGTGCTGTGGGGCTGCAACAGGCAAAGGTGAAATAGGGGCACAGGCAGGAAGTCTCACTGATGGACCAAGTGAGAGCTGACAGCTGTGTGTGATCACTGGGCAGGCACTTGCACTTCAAAATGGGCCCGACCACGTTAGCTCTCCACATTATATCACCTTCTTCTAATCTATCTTGCAATTGATTAAAGTTCAAGTTTTTCAGGTAGAGGCTGTTTGAAGTCAGTTCTCTCTTTCTAAGGTCATTTCTCTATGCTGAACACTAACCCTGTGCCTGGCACATAGCAAGAGGTCCCATGATTACACGAATGGTTCCTTCATACTGGTTCCAATGTAAATTGACCACATAACTCTCTGATGATATTCTTCCTCTAGCCCTCAGGACTCCCCATTGCCTAGAAACAAAGCGTAACTCTTTCATGAGGTACTGAAAGTCCTCCCTGACTTTCTTTCCTTTGCACACTTGACTCTTGTTACTCTTCTACCTCACCAACCCCAGCTCCTGATCTCACCCTTTAGTTGAAGGGTACCATGAGCTAGTCCCCACATGTGCATTATTGTTATTGTATTACTACTACTATTATTACTATTACTATTACTATTGGTACTAATTCTCGAAGTCAAGGTCTTTGCATTAACCTATACTCCAAGAACTTTTTAAAATTTTTTGTTTTATCCCTGGGCCTGCCATGCTGGCCCCGCCCCAAGGACATGCTCAGACAGCAATTGAGACTGGGAGTGGTGGCCTGCCCCTGTAATCCCAGCTGTTAGGAGGCTGTAAACAGGCGAATCACTAAATCCGATCTAGTAGTGAGACTCTGAACACCCTGTAGGCCCTTCCCTAAAATTTAAAAAAAATTTTGTTTTCAGATGGGGTCTTGCTAAATTGCTTCAACTTGAAATCCCCCTATGTTAGCCTACAGAGTACTGAGATTCATACAAGAGCCACCACACCTGGCCATATTTTGCCGCTGTGTATTAGTTTGCCTTTTTTTTTTTTTAAAAGGCACAAGATCTCACTATGGAGTACAGGCTGGCCTCAAACTCATGGTGATCCTCCTGCCTTTGCCTCCCAAGTGCTGGGATTACAGGCATGCACCTCCACACCTGGCTTTTGCCTCCTTTTTATTCATATGATTCCTTAAGTCTGGGACTCCTGTCTCCTCAGGAATGTTGATTAAAAGCTCCTGTCTTTCATGGTCTTGTTTAAATGGTACTTTCTCTGGGAAGCACTTATGATCTCTTTTACCCTCAAATTATTTTGAATCCTTGTTTCATGCCCTCATAATAGTTTTCCAAAATCTTTTACAGTAACAGATTGGGCATATGGAGATATGTGAGAAAGAGAACTAGGACTAATGTTTGCATTTATCACATAAACAAGTCACAGAAGTCTCTTATTGCTCCAGGATTTTTTTTTTAATGACACCAAAGACTGAATCCAGAGCCTTAGCAACCTTTTAAAATTTTCTACTTTGAAAAAAAAATTTTTTTTTCTACTTTGCATGGGCAACCTTGCTAAGACACTAAGTTCCTAGGCTGAGTTAGACTTCATAGTTCTCCTGACTCAGCCTCCCAGAGTGCTGAGAATTACAGGCATGTACCATGAATGCCCAGCACAACAGAGAAAATTTACCATTTATTCTACTGACTGGGTTTCCAGGAGGACAAGAGTGAAAGTGCTTTGGTAATCATGCTACTAGAATATCACACTCTAATAATATAGTTATATTAAAAGGTACACGAAACTTTTTGTACCAGATTAAAATCGGTTGGTGGTGGCAAAAATGAGTCTCTGTATCTTTCCACAGTGCCTTGTACAGGCAGGTGCTGGCTAAGTATTGGCTATATTAAACTGAATTGTTCCCTGGGGGTGCCTTCCAATTCCAGGCTCTCTAACTTTCCATTTCTGTGCACAAGGAAGGAGCAGCTCATCCCTGCAGTCCCCACTGCTGATGCTGCCTCTCTGACACCCTGTGGCCCTCCAACAGCCTCTGTCCCCACAGCCACTGGTCCCAGTGTCACAAGCCCTGATGTCACAGATCTGGCATAGGGCCTGGCCTCTCTTACCCAGGGGCAGCTCCTACCTTTGCCAGGACACCTTGGCGATGAGTCTTGCAGAGATGGTGGTGGAAGGCCAGTTCCAGATTGTACTGCAGCTGTTCTACTTTCCTCTTTTCCTGGAGCCCTGGTCGGCCTGAAGGAGGAGATGGGACTGGAGTGAGAACAAGAAAGAACATGGACACTCACATTCAGCCAAGAAGAAAAAGGCAGGGGGATTGTGTTCTTCTGGGGACCTGTGCTAAAGAGGCCTTATTAGGGGTGTGTGTGTGTGTGTGTGTGTGTGTTTGATAAGGCTAACCTCTTGGGCTTGAGCCTAGCCAGCTGTGTATAAAGGAAACTGGGGAGAAATGAAAGGATTTGCAGCTTCCAACCTCCAAACCTCAAACCACCTCCTGCTTGGTAACTTTGTTTTTCACATAAAACAGTTGATGCTAGAAACTGGGATTTTGTCATGGGGAGAAAACCTTGGAAGAAATCTCCCCATGCTCCTAGGAGGACTCCAGATAGGAGTGGCCTGCAGCCACTCAGGCCCTTACCTGGCCTCTGCAGCAGCCTAGGGCTGACTTCAACACCCAAACCACTTTTTGCCCTTGATTCCCTAAAATACCTGAAGGTCATCTTTAAAGTCTTTATTTCCAGGGTGGGCCAGATAACTCAGCAGACAAAAGCGTCTGCTTAGGCAGAGCTCAGTGGCCTGGGTTCAATCCCCAGCCTTGCTGGCCTCACCCCAGGGCTGCAGAGGTGGGCCTAGTGCTTGGGAGGCTGAAAACAAGAGAATCAGTCTACATAGTGAGACCCTGGACTAAATGCATTTAAAAAATAAATAAAGTCTTTACTTCCAGATCACAACCCCAAAGACTGATTGTTTATCTACAAACTCAGTAGCAGGCAGGCCCTCTTCCTTGGGGTCAGCTGGCTCCGCCCAGCCCTCTTCATGCCAGAGCTCGGCAGCAGATAAATCGCCTCAAAATGAGTTCACTCAGAGCAGTGATTCTCATAGGTGGCTTGGGAGGTTGTTAGCAATACCAGTGTACCGTGATCAATTACAGCAGGATCTTTGGGGCGCGGACCCAAGCAGCAATAGTTTTTAAGGCTTCTCAGGTGCTTCCAAAGTATTACCAAAGAATCACACACACACACACACACACACACACACACACCCCTACCTATCAGGCTCACCTCTACCAGGGAAGTAACCCTCTCCTCCCTGCATCAACAGCCCCGCAATGAGCTGCTCTTGACCACTCCAAGGTGCTTCTGAATTGTCATTGCAACTCCTTCTATTTTACAGCAATATTGAGCGGCACTCATTCTGCTGTTGTTTCACTCACTCTCCCAGATTGAACCACATCTGAGAATCTAGACACTTCCACGTTTTGCTGTGCCCCTGCCACCCGACGGTCCTGTCCCCCAGCCTGGCAACACTCACTGGCGTTGATGAGAACCAGAGCTGTGTAAAGGGCGATCTCGTCCTCGGAAAAACGCAAGGCACTCAGGGAGTGGGAGAAGTCAAAGATGGAGCTGATGAGCTCACTGCAGCCTGGTGGAGTGGAAAAGGCAAGGGTGAGCAAGGCCAGTGAGCCCCAGAGACTCAGAGATACCGCCCTCTGGTGTCGGGAGCAGAGGGGCATTCAGCTCTGCAAAGACATTGCCCAGAGTCATGAAGCTTTGCGTGGGGCTTGTGTCAGAATCTCAAGTATTTCCCCCTGCCCCTCACCCAAGGCTCGGAACAGCTCCACGCCACCGTATTTGCCTTCAAAAAAGACTGTATGGTTGTCAGCATTGTAGGCGCGGCACATCCTAACCAGCACAACTTCCATTGCTCCTGTAGAGGGGGCAGAACGATGCACAGGCTTGGTCAGGCAAAGCCAGGAATCCCCCACTTTCAGGGTCGCCACCTCCTGAGCTTGGCTCAGCACGCACCCCGTCCACTCCACTGCCCCAGGCACCTGCTTTTAGTAGGACGATCTGGTCATTCTGGCAGAGCTCCATGAAGCCTGACAGCCGCTTGGCAAACTCCACCACGTACTGAATGGCCTCGGTGAGGTGGTGGGCACAGCGCTCCCACATCTCCCACATGGACTGCAGGGGAAGGGACCCCTCTGTAGCTCTCTGTAGGACCCCGGGGACATTTCCAAGCCCCTGAGGGCCCTGCCAAATAGCTGTCAGGGGCAGGCTGGGAAATCTCACATTCTCAACACTGGCTTATTTCTTTATCTATACACTGCTGAGGATTAAAGCCAGGGCCTCATGCATGCTAGGTTAGCAGTCTGTCACTGAGCCACCCTCCGAGCCCAACACTGGACTCCTGTGTGTGTGTGTGTGTGTGTGTGTGTGTGTGTGTTTGTGCGCGAGCGCGCACTGTGGACTGAACCCAATGAGTGTTGAGCTAGACCCCTGTCCTTTTAAATTTAATTGGATTTTTTTTTTTGTCTTTTTTTTTTTTTTTTTTTTGATTTGGGAAACTAATTCCAAGTGCTATTTAGTTTTTTTTTTATATTCACTTTTTAAAAAAAATATTTTTATTGAGAACCAAATAGCAATTTTTTTTTTTTTTTTTTGTCTTTTTGAGAGAGAGTTTCGCTATGTAGTTCAGGCTGTATTTGAACTCACTTGGTAGCCCAGGCTGGCCTTGAACTCACAGTGACCCTCCTGCCTCAGCCTCCTGAGTTCTAATTTTATTTTGAGATGAATTCTTGCTCAGTTGGCCAGGCTGGCCTAGAACTTACTATCTTCCTACCTCAGCCTCCTGAGTAACTGGAATTACAGATGTACACCACCACAATTTTTTTTTTTTTTTTTTTTGGTGGAGCCAGGGATTGAACTCAGGCCCTTCCGCTCGCCAGGCAAGCACTTGTTCTACTGAACCATACCACCACAAATTTTTTAAAGCTTATTTTTAGCATAAAAGTACTGAGGTCAATTCCTGTCTGGTGATCCCTTTTATTGAGTACCGACCGGCTGCTGGCACTGTGCTAGCAGTGGTGGGGAAAGGAAAATGTATGATACATTTAGGGCCTCTAACAATTTGGATCTCACTGTAAAAAGGACATACTGCCTGCACTCGCCATTGTTTTTTAATGTATTTGGTACAGGGTCTCACTATGCAGTTTGTACTCATAGTGATTCTCCTGTTTTCAGCATCCCCAGTACTGGGATTACAGGTGTATGCCACCATGCCCGGTCTTGGTGGCTGGCTCAGTGTGCTCAGGGGTGGGCATATAGTGATGGGGATCGAACCCTGTTCCATGAGCTTGTGTAAGCCGGTACTTAGTCTGCTGAGCTCTCTCACCAGCCCCCAAAGTTTAAGTAACTTAGAGAAACACAAGGAAAACATCAAATGTGTGTCTTCAGAGCAGGTGGCATTGTTGGAGTGTGCCAGAGGAGACAGCATACACTTTGGAGCCTGATGGACCTGGATTTCACTTTGATTCCACAGCTTTATGATCTTGGGTATGTCTATTAACCCCTCTAAACTCAGTTTCCCACTCAATTAAGATAGGGCCAAGGAGGCAGGTGGTGATTGTTCCTGAACCCAGCGCTCTGGGTGGATGAAGCAGGAAAATTGCAATTGAGCAACTTAGCAAAATCCTACCTCAGAATAAAAGCATTAAAAATAAAAGGATTTGTGAAGGTCCTGGGTTCAATTCCCAGTACTAAAAAAAAAAAAAAAGTGAAGAAGACTATGGGCTTGGGAACATAGCTCAACAGTAGAGTACTTGCAAATCAAAGTACACATTTCTATTATTTATTTAGGTACCAGGAATTGAACTCATGACCTCATGCTTGCCAGGCAGGTACCATGCCATTGAGCTAAATCCCTGTCCACCAGGTGGTATTTGCCTCTCATACATGATGCCCTGGGTTTGATCCCCATTACTTCACTAATTTTTTAAAAAACAGGAATAAATGTTACCCTTACAGTTTGATTGTTGAACAGGTTGAGAATAATCTATGCATGGAATTTAGCACAATGCCTGGCAAAGAAAAAGTGTTTCACCAGCAGTTGATGGGATTCTGATCATTGTTGGTACTAACAAAGGAAGAAGAGAGAAAACCAAGACAGGTTGGGGGCTGAGAAAAGCTTAATGCGCAAGGCCTAAGGAAAAGTTTTCACCCATCTGTTGAGCTGTAGAGAAATACACAGACACCAAATCATACGTAACAGGTACACACATTTGTGAAGCCAGTGCCCAGTAGATATGCCCTCCTCCTACCCCTGCAGCTCTGGTCCCCCAGAGGAGGCAGGGCCCTCCCTGCTGCATGGTCTCCCGGTGTACCTTCCTCTGGTAGCTGGTCACCTCCTCTCGGGAGAAGAGGTTGGAGCGCTGCCGTAGCAAGTCCTCCAGTCGCAGCTGGCACGTCTCTCGGTAGGACTTGCAGACGTTCTGCACAAGGTGTTCTGGGGCCAGAAGAGGAGGCATAGCTTGGTCTCAGGCAGCTCCTTCTGCACCCTTACAATGACTCTTCACTGTCTTCTCCCCACTCTGATCCCTCCAATAGCCCCTTGTCAGGTCTCTACAACTCTTGAGGAGCACAGTTAGTCAATGTGGGTGCTAGGGGAACCCTTTCCCTCATTCTCTCCACCCCCTCGACCTCCCGAGCTGCTCACCAATCTCTGTCAGGGAGGCATATGGTGCCTCTGGGGTGCTGCAGAAACTGGGACTGCAGTAGTTGTCTGGGCCCTGTCCTGGCTCCCCAAGCCCAGGTTGCTTGGGTCCCTCAAAATGAAGTCCACATCTGCCAGGGGTCAGCTGGCTGCCTGTGCTACAGGCACTCTCTGCACCCTCAGCCTTGCCCCTCTCTGGGCTGTACTCCAGGTGGTAGGGGGCCCCACTGAGCTCCACTTTGGCTGAGGTGTGAGAATACAACAGCCCAGAGCCTGAGGCTCTCAGGAGGCCAGGAGGACAGGCAGAGGCCTCCGGCAGGTCAGGTGAGGAACCCAGGGGCAGCTGCCCATCAGGGAGCCCCAAGGTGCAGGTGAGGGCATCGGCTCCACGGCCCCCTGCTGGGGGTATCTTCGCCACTTGTTCCTGTTGCAGCTGCAGCTGCTGCTGCTGTAGCTGCTTCTGTACTTCTGCATGCAAGCTGTCCCTCTGTTTCTTGGACATGCGGCCGAACTTGACAGCTAAAGGAGGTCCAGGGATCAAGAGTTTAGAAGGCAGAATAGGATTCAGGGCAGGGTCAACATGCACATGGGGCAGTGCAGGATGAACCTGCTGCGCCAAGCCCAAGAGAGATTCTCTGTCTTTGCCCCAGGACCACCTCCCCCACTTTTTGGGAACTTTTTTTTTTTTTTTTTTTTTTTTTTTTTTTGTAGAACCGGGGATTGAACTTAGGCCCTTGCACTTGCCAGGCAAGCGCTCATTCTACTGAACCATCTCCCCGGCCCCGACTTTTTGGGAACTTATGCCCAAGACTCCACCCACCCATCATGTTCAGGATATGCCCAGACTGTCATTTCTGTCTCCTGAGCACTATCTAAGTTCCAAGCATCTTTGAACAGAGGCAGAATTCCAGGCATGTTCCAGGCTGGGGATTCTGGCCTCCCACGATTGAGGCTTGGGGGCATCAGGCAGAGGGCCTCAGGCTGTATTGGGGTCAACATGCCTGTCTGGGAAGGCTGGAGGAAGAGAAGGGCTGAGAACACAGGTCTCCCTGTGGTCAGGCCTGCAGGCTCCCCGGTGACCTAGATACTCACCACAGCCCAACCCAGGCTCCGTGGCTTGCTTCTGAACATCCTCTTCTGCTCTCTCTTTCCTGCCTCTTGCTCCCCCCGCCCCCTCCCAGGTGTGGGGGCACAGCCCCTTGCCCCGCCTGTCCCTTATACCCCTGCATGTTTCCTTTCGCTTTGTTATTTTGAGCGCTGAAAAGTGCTGACAGGTTCCTTCTGGCTCCCCATTACCCTCCCACCCAGCTCATTCTGTGGGGGGACGGGCGAGGAGGGGTGGTGAGGAGGGCATATAAGGCACGAGGAACAGCCCCACACTCCCCTGCCTCCTGGATACTTCTCGGGCAATCCACTCCCATTCGTGGCCACAGCCTGGGTGCTGGGATAGGAAGTGGGGACCAGGGAGGGAGATGAAGCTGAACTAGGGCAATGGGTAGGGAAGGGAAGATGTGGAACTTGTTGGAAGCTGGGCAGTGGGAGAAGAATTCATCCCAAGGAAAAAGACATGAGAGGCTTGGGGGCCCCAGGAAAAGGGTTATTGGAGCACAACCTCTGGACTCTAAAGAGCTTCAAGGTAGTGGCCCTCAAGGAGAAGAAACAGAGCTGTCAAGCAACAGAGAGAGGTCCTTGGAAGGGCATATGAGCAGGGCAGCCCTCGTTGGGCACAGCAGGCTTTAGGCTGAGCCCTAGAGACTCCAGGGAACACGGGGGGTGGGGGTGCCCGTTTGGCCTCACCATCTCGGGACATGCCCAGGGCCAGGCATTTCTGCAGGCGGCAGTGCTGGCATCGGTTGCGGCTGGTGCGGTCGATAGGGCAGTTCTGCTGCCGGGTGCAGGAGTAGGCCACGTTACACTGCTGGCTCCGGCGAAAGAAACCCTGGGGAGGGCCAGGGTTTGCGGGAACTGAAACCCCTTTCCTGGTCAGGCCTGGCTCTGTCCACAAGTGCCAGCCTCAGCTTTTCCACATCCTCCAGCCCACCCTCTGCTCTCTCTCCTCCATTTCTTTGTGTCATTGTAGTTTGTCCTGCAGTCACTTCCCCAGCTTAAAGGGTCTTTCACCATCTGGACAAGTCCCTTACTGTTTCTGGAGACCATGAGCCCCTTGTCCTCTGATCTGAAGAGATATAGTGTACATGTGTGTGCGCACATACATATTTCTACAACTCACCTTGCACCCCTCACAGGTGATAACCCCATAGTGGATCCCAGATGACTTGTCCCCACAGATTTTGCACGGGATCACTTCAATTTGTGCTGGAAGAGAGAAAGAGAAGTAGGTAAGCCCAGGAGGCTTTTCCTTCTTCTACCATCGTGCACCTGGGCTGCAGATACAGGTGCCTGGTGTGTCCCCAAATTCTCCAGCCTGCTCCACCTTGCTGTTCCCCTCCTGCAAAATAGAAGAAGTGGAATGGCAAGCGCTTCTCAGCCAAGGCTCCAAGGAGCTGCTTTTGTTTGACAGAGGAGGGTGCAGCCTGGTGTTTTGCCAGCATTACCGAGTCAAAAAGAACAGCTGCAGAGAGGCCGCCTGCTCAGCCCTTCAAGATGAACAGCTCCACTCACCCCACCACCACAGGAGTCCCCACTTTACACCTGTTTCCCGCGCTGGGCTTCCTTTGTGCCTCCCCCGCCCAGGGCTTGGCTCCATGGGCAGGAAGGTATGGTGCACTGGGCAGGAGATGCCTGGGGGCTGGCAGAGACTCTAGGCATCCTCCGTGGACCATGAAGGCTCAGCCATGGGCTGCAGGGACCAGGAGTCAAGCGATGATGGGCGCAGAGTGGGCCCAGAGAGCCGGGAAGAAGCTGGAGGTGGAACCCAGGAGAGTAGGGAGCTACAACCCCGCTCCATCGGGAGCCCCAGGATGCAGGGAGAGAACCAAACAATGGGTAGGCCCCTGGCTCCAGCAAGGAGAGGGGCTGGCGGCACATGTGTCAGCATGTGAGAGTAAGTATGAGGGCTGCTGTGTCCAACTGTGTGGACGCAGGTCACAGCTGCCAACCTGGCGGAGGCTGGAGACCGTCTTGTTCACCAGGTCACTGGGCAGATGAAGCCCTAGGCACCCCTAAGGGACGATGGTTGGTCCAGATCACACAGCAGCTTATGTGAGAGCTGGGTCTGCCGCCATGCCCTCCCGAGCTGTCCCGAGCTGTCCCGTTCTGTGCACACGGCCCTCCCAACACCTATTGCTCTTTGCTGAAGTTCAAGTGACCAGCACGACTTCTCTCCGCCTGTCCTCAAAAGGCAGCCAGGCACAGCTTGGGGTTGGCTACTGCAGGTGTCTCCAGCACATAGAAGGACATGTGGGTCTCCTTTCCTCCTTCACCGACTTGCTGGCTTACCCTGGGAGTGGGCAGGCCAGAAAAATGGCCAAGGCCAAAGCTGCTTCTCATCTGAGGCAGGTCTCCCACCTTAGGGGGAGAGGAGGTGCCCACTGCAGGGCAAAGCCACAGTCCTGTGAGATCCCTTCCAGCCTCAGGACTGACCCCTGCGGATGTAAGCAAGGTGGAGAGGGAGCCCGCGGCTCACCCACTGCTCCCAACATACTATTTGCACCACCCGCAAAGCATCTCCTCTCCAGCCTGTTTCGAGCTGAGTCAGAGTAAGAAGCCGTCTCTTCACGGGACACAAGCACTTCTGACACCGTGCCATCAGAACTCCCTTTCTTTCTCTCATATCCAGCCACTCCTGCTGCCCAGCACCCACTGAGAAAGCTACTGTGGTCACCTCCGTGAACAAGTGAGCTTTTCAGATTCTTTCCAGGAATTACGAGCAGACTTCAAGGCCTGGATGGGGAAGAGAGTGCAGAAGGAGTCTGGTGCCTGGAAGAGGGGCGGAAAGAGTGGGGGCCCTCGCACTTCTAGTCACTTACATTTCGTCTGGGCCTCAGTTCCCTTGGCAATGAGGTGAGGGTAAAAATAACATTGCCCGCCCTAGGGGTGACTTCCATAGTTCAGAGTGGTTAGTGACATCACCACGCAGAGCAGGGTACTGTGTGTGCCAGTTACTATTGACCAAGGCACTGTGGAGGAGCCTGTGGGCATGGCGGGCTGTGATGAGCAGAGGCCCCGTGGGTTCTGCTCTTGCCTGGCGCCTCACCCCCCATACTGTGGTATCTCATTCTTCAGTAGCCCTAAGACCAGAGACGTGGGAAACCAACACGGGTCACCCAAAAAAGCAAGCAAGAGAGAGATTAGGCCAAGCCACGGTGGGAACTCGGGCTCTGGCCCAGCAGTCAACCACAGGCCTCCCTGCCTCTTCCCCTCTCCAAGAGCCACAATCGCGTGCATGTGTGCACTGACCACATGGCTGACCTTAGACACATCTCCCTGCCCCGTGCCTGACCCACCGCTGGTCCTGGCCCTAGGAACCTTACCACAGTGTCACCAAGATGCTCGCCTACTCATAGGAAGATGTGGCCAGCTGAGGACCTTTTCATGAGTACCTGTCCTTGGGGGATACCAGAGCCTCAGACCCCAGCCGCGAGGCCAACCCCTCCTTCATTGTCCCCAACCACAGTCCAAGGCACAGTACAGAGTGAGGCAGACATGCATAGTCAGTGATTCTGAGGGTCAGACCCTGTAGCCCATGAATCTATAGCACACATACTGCAGCAGGCTGTTTATATGATTAAGATCTCTAAAAGGTGGCGCATGCCTGTAGTTCTAGCACTTGGGAGGCAGAGGCAGGAGGATCACCATGAGTTGGAGGCCAGCCTGTGCTACATAGTGAATTCAAGGCCAGCCTGAGGTAACAGTAAGACCCTGTCTCAAACAAACAAACAAACAGCTTTAGAATTCTGCCATTACCACTCTAGCCTTTGAACTAGAGAGACTAAAAGGCTGGCGATAGGAGAAAACAGGTAGACCTAGCAGTGCAGAGCCAGCCAGAGAAACACAGGGCAACCTATGCCTGTGTCTTGGCCCTGTGCCCAACCCCCAGCACTCTCAGGCCACTTGTCCTACTACTCTCTCCATCCTTGCCCCTGAACCCCCTTCAGGGTCATCCACCCCAAACCTCGGAGAGAAAGTGCTAGATGCTCATGAGTATGTGATTGGGGAGGAGGGCGAGGGGCCTGCTGGGGAGGTGGCAGAGGGTTGGGAGGGGGCTGAGAAATGTCTCAATCCCTTCCCTTCTCTCAGCCCTTCTAGTCAGTCCCTAAACTGCAGGTGCTGGGAACCCAGCTTGGTGGGGGTGGCGGGGAGCTGAGTAATCACAGGATTACTCAAACTGCTGCCTGGGAGCCCTGCCTGCCAGGAACTTACCATCGCAGGGCCTGCTGGTGCCAGGAACTAGAGCCAAGCAAAGGTCAGGAGCCATGCCCTCCTACAGCGCCCCCCCATGGGTGGATCTCTGGCCTCACTTTCTTTTGCATCTCCCTGTAGCGCTGACAGAGAAAAGCCACCAATCCTATTCCTCCAAAAGCAGAGGTGTGTGCCAGTTCCTTAATTCCTGTTTTCCCCGAAAGGCCTCTAGTCTCATCTTTGTCAAGATCACCTAAGAATCCTGCAACAATGTAGGCCCCGGGGGCATGCGGTGTAGCTCCGTAAGAGCTCAGTAAGAGAGAGCCCTGTGGATTCCTAACACTGAAAAACAAAACAAAACAAGACACAGGTCTTTCTTCAAGAAATCTGTGGTGGGGCCTGAGAGTCTGCATTTTCAGGAGTTCCCAGGTGATGCCTAAGTTTCCGGTAGTTAGCCTAGACCTGGAGTAGCAAGAACTCAGGCCTACTTGGGCATGGTGGTGTACACCTATAATCCCAGCACTCGGGAGGCTGAGGCAGGAAGATCACTTTAAGTTTGGAGTCAGCCTAGGCTACATAGTGAGTTCAAGACCAGCCTGCACTACAAAGCAAGACCCTGTCTCAAGAAACAAAGCAAAAAATAATTCAGCCTCTGCCTTCTTTGACAAAGCCAGACTTCTCTTCCCACAGGGTGGTAGTGACATGGACAATCTCTTCCTGAGCTCAGTCCCCCCCATCTGCCCATACAGGGAATCAAACTGAGGGTCTAACCACTTTACTACATCTCAGATCCCTGCCCCCCCCCCTTTTTTTTTTGGGCAGAACCAGGGATTGAACTCAGGCCCTTGTGCTTGCCAGGGAAGCCTTATTCTACCGAGCCATCTCCCCACCCCACCCCCGCCCCTTTTTATCTTTTATTTTGCAACAGAATCTTGTTAAGTTGCTCAGGCTGCCTCAGCTTCCCAGAGCGCTGGGATTACACGCTAGGTGCACCATGCCTAATTTATTGAAACCAAAGCCTTATATACACTAAGCACTCACTCTCCCACTAAGCTGCACACTCAGCTCACCTAACTCATGCCTTTCCCTCCCATCTGGTGTGACCTCTAAAACTGCATTCTGATGCAACCTTAGAAAAAGAAAACAAATCTCTGGATTGCTTCAGACACAGCAGGCTTCCTACAGAGCCTTGTCCTAGAGCCTCATGTGAGGAGAAATACGGTAGAGGCAAAGCTTGCCTGCCGCCAGCCCCCTCATCTCACCCTCCTCACAGCTGTGAGATGCACCGATAGTGCTCTTTGAATGTATCCAGAGCCCAGCCCTGGGCCCTGTCCAGGTGTCCTATGCCACAGAGAGGAAGTGGTAGGAGCAGAGCGGGGCTCCAACCCAGGGGGATCTTGCTCCTCAAACCCTAGAGCTACCCGTCACGTGTGCAGAGCCACCAGGCCGAGGAGCTCTGGGGTCCTCAGAGATCCTGAGTAAGGGGAAGTAATAATGGCAGACACTGGGGTTGGCTGAATTCTTACTCTGTGCCAGGCTTCATGTATATTTTATTTATCTATTTTTGGAACCAGGGATTGAACTCAGGACCTTGCACTTGCCAGGGAAGCACTTATTCCACTGAGCCATCTCCCTGGCCCTTCACGTACATTTTTTGTACGGTTTTGTGGCACTGAAGATTGAACCCAACATCTTTCACATAGTAGGCAACTAAGTGCTTTACTGCTGACCTATATCCCTGGGTTATATACATTTTCGGTGATCACTACTAGAATCAGCCCCATTTCACAGATAAGAATACAGAGGCTAGAGACAATCAGTGGCTTGTGGGAGGGGCAGATTGGCATTTGAACCCCATCTCTGTAGAGCCTATGCCCTCACCATGGAGCTCTTTACCCCATGAGAATGAGATCCCACATGCACCAAGCACAGGCCAGAGGCAAGATTATTGGCTGCAGGGGAAAAGTATGGATGTGTGTGAGGCGGGCTAGGAAGGAATTCAGGGAGGAAACCCA